ATTGCAATTTGGTAAACTTTTTATTCGTTTTTTGTTATTGCATTTAGTATCTTTACGGTTCTTGTTTTTTGACATGTGATGAAATCTCGAAAAATCTTAAAAAAAAGTCTTGCATCTTGAAAAAAATCTTGAAAAAAAAAATCTTGAAATCTTGAAAATCTTGAAATCTTGAAAAAAATCTTGAAAAAAAAAAACTAAAAACATTTATTAGAATTCCCTTCCTATTTTGCCTTCTCTGGGAGGTTAAGGCGCTGGGACTTAGCCCAGCTGATAGCATCGCAGCAAACCACTAAAACTGATATGGCTTTTTGAATGAGTAGGGTGTGATATAACTTGGATTTAGAAAATCTTCCGAATACATTTTCTAACTAACTGTGTAACGTGAGGTAGCCGATTGGCCAATTAACTGAATAATTCGTGGTCAGTTAGTCATCAGCCTTCTTATCAGCAGGCACTTACGGGAGGTAATTTGCGACCAGTCGAAATAATAATTCCATGTCTTCCTAGTTATATTGAAGAATGGGATGTGGAAGGATATTCTGACTTTTGGTTTTGAATTAATCGGTGAATATGCAGTTAGTGAGCGGGCAAAATTCAGATCGATAAAACTTCAAATTTTCATATTCTCATTTTCTTGATTATTTCGTTATTTGGAGCTTTTGGCCTTGTTTTTCAGGGTACTTGATCACAGAATTCAATAGTCCTGTGTAACATACTAGTGCCCGAAATTTTTCGATTTTTTGGCTTATTCAGTAATTTGATGGAGTTTGTTTGTTTGTTTGTTTGCAGCGACAATTGCGTTCTTCTCCAAAGGGGCATATATACCATATCATTACGATGCATCTCTTTCACTGGCCGGCACGAGTAGTTCATTTGGCAAGCGAACGCGTCGCCTGGCCCAAGAAATTGTTACGCTGAGCAATTCACTGCCACTGAGTGCAAGCAGTTGTGTTTTTGTTCGTGCTGCCGAAGAGCGACTGGACGTTATGAAGGTAAGCCATAAGTTCCCTTTTTATGCGTTTTGTGCTGTGTAACAGCAGTACAAAACGCATATTGTTACGGGGTTGTCT